TAATTTTAGAAATCTCCCTCTCTTTTTCTCCTACTTCTCCCTCTTCCTCTCTCTCTTTCTCTCCCTGTTTTCTTTCTTAAATTTTCTTCCCTTTTCAATGACCTAGATAGTGAACATCCCCAAATATATTTCCCTCTCTAGAAAAAAGTCTATTACATAAAATCATCTTGAGTTGGTGAATTCTGAGGATATGCAGCCACAAAATTTATTTGATTGAGGAGAAGGCCATTTATTATTATCATTTTTTAAAAATGGCCTCCACTGGAACTGATGGCCAATAAGACTCTATCTTAGATGCGAAAGGCTACTCTACTCCACAGATTTATTTGAGTCTTCCACAATGCTCACGTCAAAAAAGCCTCTACTGGTAACCCAGGAATCCAAGAAGACACACATAGCAGAGCACTGTAGCCTGTGCAGTCTCTACTCTGAAGGTCAAGACCCAATCTCCTCCATAGGGCCTTAAAATCCCCATTCACTTAAGAAAAGAAAAAGAAATGCCAGGCAAATTAGAGTGAAACAAACGCGGCTGCATGTTCTGAGAGAGACAGTGTGCCAGAGACACAGGGCGCACAGCAAACAAGGAAAGAGGCAACTGGAAGCCTCTGTTGTGAGGTGAAAGCCGAAGAGCTGCCAGCCTACCAAGGTGTGTTTCTACGACAGGTGCACCTTTACCGGAGGATTCTGTTCACCAGAATTTGATGCATAACTGCAGCCAGCAAAGTGAGTACTGGCACTGGGCTGGAAATTCTACAGCAGCAACACCAGCATCTTTCACAGAAAGACTCCTAAGCAGCACTTAAATGAAAAAAGGAAGCTCTTATTTCCTAGGAAAATATAGTCAGTGGGCATCAACGGCAACACATGACCCTCTGTGGAAGCCCACAGCTACATCTCATTCCATGACCCCAGGATGATGTCAGCCAAGATATCCATACCACTGACCCACCTGAGTGCCACAGCCCCTCTCAGCTAGATTGCCAGTCAGCACCATCAGCTGATGGTTCCTGTAATTCCTAAAGCCCGTTTTCTTCCAGCTAATGCCTCTTCTCAGTCTGTGACTCAGGCATGGAGACACAGGAATCTCCTTTGATCCACTCATAGTAACAGGTTATCTTTATTTTCCAGGACGATTTATTCTTCATTCTCTCTTGGAAAAACAAAAACAGTAGTAGAAAGACTGGCTTCTGTCCAACTATCTCAAAATATCACCCCCAGGAAGGGAAACCCTACCATATTTCAGGTACGGCTTAATTCCTTTCATAGAACATTCACATGTGATTTTCTCTTGGAGAAAATTGATTAATCTCTCAAGTCTTTAGATCTTTGGCTCCCTACTTTAAATGGATGAATGAAGCTTCTCCCAGGTCTGAGATCAAAGGATTTATTGGCTTGTGGTTGCAAAAAGTACCTTTTGGTCCTGACCATCAACATCCGAGGCTAGACCTCCTGCAACATCATGCTAAATGGTTTCCTTGATGTGACCTCACGTTACCACAGTTTAGCCACCTGTTACTACCAATAGCATTGGTAACCTAGAGGCATTTCCAAAAGTTCCTAGTTTCAGAAAAAACTGTAAAAATCAGTGCATGTATATGTTGTAATTAGCTTTACCAAATTTCCTCTTCAGACAAATAAACAAATCAATACTATAAATATGTTTTTTCTCAACTTATAATACTATTCACAGTATTCTTCTTGTGAAAAATATGCTCTTTGTCAACAGAAATCAACTATATTTATGAAGGTTCAGGTGAACATACTTTATAAAACCTTCAGAGCAAACACAACACTCGATCCCTATCTTCTGAGTTTTGAACTCTGTTTCATATAAATGCATCCATCTTCTTTGTTTGTTATCTGCTTCGGATTAGCGAGAGGACTGCCTCTTAGACCACTCTTCAACCATTAGTGAACTCATGTCTTCGTTTTCTGCCTCTAGACGGACTGAAAACTCCCTAATACAGTTATTTTATACCAACACTCTACAATGTAGAGCCTTTAAGACAGACATGAAGTTTAATACTTGGGCTTTTTTTAAGAAACCCTGGAAGAGACCCTGGCATGATAGCTATACCTAGAAACACCATTTAAGGTAAAGGAAGCCAACATTGAGCACTGTTCACCGTGAGGGGCTGAGCTGCAGCAGAGCTCAGGTGACCTAGCTCCTTCAGGTTATTCTCTGTGCCATAGAGACTGCCGAAGGCACCGCCTGAAGTGCTGGGATACAAAGGGTTACATTTCGGGGGCATCCGCCTCTCAGCAGAATTGCAAAGATGCACAGTTTTCACTTAGCCAGGTAAATCTGGCCTTTGCTGTGCCTCTGGCATCAGGAGAAAATAATTAACCAACTGTCGAGTAAAATACAATAACCCAGTGGATTAAACCACTAATACCGTGTCCTGTGCTGCTCAGCTTCTCCTCTGTTAATTGCGCTATCCTAGACCAGGTGCACTGTGGCTTGACTCCAGGAACAAAAATGTACGTTCTGCTAAAAGGATAGCCAGGATGCTCAAGGATGCTCAAGAAGGTGCGTGGAGGGGGGGGGGGGGACTTTACCAGTTGTAATTCGCTTCTAAGGTTTAAGGTGCATTTCATTTCACAGTAAGCACAGCATGAATAAAACTCCAGTCCCAAGAATTTCAATTTGCTTCTTTCAAAATACTTCTGTCACGGAGATCTCAGGAAGTTGTGTACACCACTCCCTCACCTATGGAGGTCCCCACACGTGTGTATTACATCACACAGAACCCTAGAAAAGCCTCCTCACTCATGTGAGACCAGCATTCCTTTAGATATGTGCAGTTTCTGGGGCCAGTGCCGTAGTGTAGTGGGTAAAGCCGCTGCCTGCAGTGCCAGCATCCCATATGGGTGCTGGTTCAAGACCTAGCTGCTCTACTTTTGATCCAGCTCTCTGCTATGGCCTAGGAAAGCTGTAGAAGATGGCCTAAGATCTTGTGCTCCTGCACCCGCATGGGAGATCTGGAAGAAGCTCCTGGCTTCAGATCACCTCAGTCCAGCTGTTGAGACCATATAGGGAGTGAACCAGCGGATGGAAGATATCTCTCTCTCTCTCTCTCTCTCTCTCTCTGCCTCTCTGTAACTCTGCCTTTCAAACAAATAATAAATAAATCTTTGAAAAAAATACTTGTAATTTCTGGCCGGCGCTGCGGCTCACTTGGCTAATCCTCCACCTGCGGCGCCAGCACACCGGGTTCTAGTCCCGCTCAGGGCACCAGATTCTGTCCCGGTTGCTCCTCTTCCAGGCCAGCTCTCTACTGTGGCCAGGGAGTGCAGTGGAGGATGGCCCAAGTGCTTGGGCCCTGCACCCCATGGGAGACCAGGAGAAGCACCTGGCTCCTGCCTTCAGATCAGCATGGTGTGCTGGCCGCAGTGCACCAGCTATAGCGGCCACTTGGAGGGTGAACCAATGGCAAAGGAAGACCTTTTTCTCTGTCTCTCTCTCTCTCAATGTCTAACTCTGCCTGTCCAAAAAAAAAAAAAAAAAAAAAAAAAGATACTTGTAATTTTTAACACCTGATTCCTCGAAGCAGCATTCTCAGAACAACTTTTCACTGAACAATGCATTTCAGAAGGTGTGTTACAATATTTCATTATTTTCCCTTTGATTTTTATGGCCAGAGTTGAAAAGATTACATTTGTTATGTATTTGTTATTTATTTTCATTTTAATTTAATTTTGTTTACTGTGTGGGGCTTTACTTCTACCTAAGAAGGTAAATTAATTAAAAGTAGAGACTCTATATCTACTTTTAAAAATACGTAACTGGGGTGTGTGTGTCTGTGTGTATGGGCAGTAGAGAGCATAAAAGATATAATATAGTATTACATTTTACAGGACAAATACATATGTGTCCACACACACAACAGCACAATAGCATCTAACACTTTCTTAAGTCAAATTCCGATCCTTCTCCTCTCTTGGTAGGACTCAAGCACACTGTATAAGTGAAGAGAACTGTCTTATAGAGAATGTGGTTCAGTTCCAGGGGGCTGACAAGGTGAAAGTGCAACCAGCACCAGTCTTCTGCAATGCCAGCATGACAGTGATGCTGCGGCATCCAGAGCCAGTCCTGAGGAGTGCAGCTGCTTCCCAGGGTGAATACGGGCTGTCCTGATGACGAGATATTCTTCTATGTGATGTCCTTCCTGTGTACCACTGAAATACCTTCAGAGCGAAAATGTACAATCGCCAGCTGCTCGTTGGCTCACACAGCCAACACTTGGGAGCCCAGCAATGACTTCAAGAAAACTAAGCTGTGTTTGTTCAGCTCCAGACTGAGGTTAGAGGTCTGAGGAAAGAACAAGGTGCATATAATAGAATCTAAGTCCTGGAGGATGTCAGGAAGGACATTTTCCAGCCCTTTCTTGCACAACTCTGCTGTTCAAGTTAGCTTGCAATCATCAAGTCTTCCTAGTAAAGCCGCTTTCCATTAAAAAAAAAAAAAAAGTGTGATTCTTCTTCAGCTTTAACACAAACTGAAAGTCCCGAGACAACAGGATTCCAAAAAATGTTACCTACGTACATCATTAGTGTTCCTCTGCCCTTTTCCACTCACTGTTTGGCAAAACCCTAGTTAGTATTGTTAACCTTCTTAACCATTCAGGCTTATGCTTCTACTTTAAGGGTCTGACAAAACTGTGGGCACCTGACCCAGAGAACACATCACTGTCCACATGCAAAGTACACTGTGTCAAATTTTGTGGGGCTCAGCGCCTCCTATCTTAAGCATACAGGTTAAACACCACATCTCCACTGTCTTACTGAGTATTGAACCTTCACTCCGCACGCTGTTTCAGACATTTCCATAGTTTAAGGGAGCAACCTGAGAGCCTCCTTGCTTCTGTTATCCTGTTGGCACAGAGTTCAGGCTAGTGTACAGAACAAAAATTATGGAAATAAAATGTAGAGATGATTAACTAGAGGTCTGTTCCCAGAGAACCACGCACCACTGTTTCTAACAAGGTTGGTGTGCTCACCTTTTGGTCTTGACTGTACGCCAGAATCCAGTCCTCTTGCTTGGGGTGGAAAAGCAGGCTCTGAATGTAGAAGTTCAGCCGGTACTTTTGATAGGTTGCTCCCTCATCTGAGCTGATCAACAAACTGCTCTCAATCTCTGGGTCTGTGAGTAACATAATCTGCAGCAAAGAATAATTGAAGAAAAAAATAACAAAGTTAAGTTTAAAAATGTATAAAACTTGAACACAAGCTAAAATTCTGACAAGGGAGGGACAAGGGCAAGGAAAGAATGGTTGACCAAACAAGAACCCTGACTCTGTCAGCTTAATTCTCCTACCTTGGATCAACAAGTGTCCTAAAACTATCTTCACTGAGAACTGAAAAGGGCAGGAGAGGTTGGAGAGAAGAGGAGATGGATGACTGCATTCTCTTCTCCTCTACAGGATTCCTTAGCTTTACCAAGGTAATTTCATTAGCCTGGAACATTTCCTACTATGACCCTCAAACCAATGCTTCCTGCTTTGTGCCCAGTGTCATCTCCATTTTGGAAGAATTAAAGAACAGGAATGGGTACTTCCATTGTGGGAAAGGTAGAAATAAAAACAAATGGAGTCCACTAGTTTCTTTTTCAACCTCAAGACCTTTTGTTCCACATCAGCCAGATCCCATGACGTCCTAACTTTTATCTGATTTCTGAGTCTTGAGTCAAAGTCTGGATTCTAAAAAACTCAAAGAATTCCACGGAGTCTATTTTATCTCCCAACCTTCAGCACCTTCTAGCCTGCTATAGGATGGACTTAATTTGCTTCTTGTCTGTGTATCTTCTACTAGAACAGAAGCTCCCTAAGAATAGGGATCTTTGCATGGTTTATCTTTTTTTTTTTTTTTTTGTCCTCAGTACATTCTGAAGAGCTGTACTACAGCCAAGCATGTATTATATACTTGCTCAATGCTTGTCAAGTGAATGAACAATGTATAAATTAATGGAAAGCATTTTCAGAGCAGTCACATGGACTTGATGACCAGAACAGCTTGTGGGAAGATGAACAGAAGTTCCTTGGACAAAGTGGTTGAAGTCTCTTCACAATCTTCAGCATACAGACCCGAGAAGAAGCTACAAATATGTAAAACCACCCAGCTTCAGATGCTGTTCACTGTCTCATTGGGAGGCCTAGTTTTGGCCAGAGCAGTGTGACTGGTCCATAATACATGCAAGATGGAATAGCTGCCCAGAAAACTGCTCTGTATTTCTTCATTTTAAGCCCTTAAGAATGTGTGATAAAGCACCTCACCCTTGACTCTGTGTGGTCTCCTTTCACTCAGAGTACACACTTCACACCTGAGAGGTGGGCGGGCTACCCATTGACATTCCCCATCAACCTTTTACTCAGTATTTTCTGAGTTTGGTTGAGGGAAGCAGGGAAAATATGCTCAAAGTGTGACTGTACGAAGAGATTTCCCTGCAGTCCAGAATTTAAAGATTAGCAGGTGAGAGAACAAGAGACAGAGGGAGAGAGAGCAAGAATGCACATAGAGGCATAGAAGGTTAAAGCCACTGCCTACAGTGCTGGCATCCCATGTGGGCACCAGTTTCAGGCCTAGCTGCTCCACTTTCGATCCAACTCCCTGCTAATGTGCTGGGAAAGACAATGGAGGATGCCCCAAGTGCTTGGGCCCCTGCACCTACATGGGAGACTCTGTGCAAGCTCCTGGCTCCTGGCTTTGGCCTGGCCCAGTCCAGCCATTGTGGTCATTTGGGGAGTGAACCAACAGACGGAAGATATCTCTCTCTCCTTCTCTCTCTGTATCTCTGCCTTTCAAATAAATAAATAAATCTTTTAAAAAAAGAAAATGTTCAAAAATAAACAAAACTATGACATAAAAGCTCAGAAAGCCCTTTAGGAAGAGGTTTTTCAAGAATCTGAAAACACGCTTATTTCAGAATTCTTAGAGCCATTTTTGAACGTAGTATCCAGTCACTACCAACGGCACACAGAGGGGCTTAACAAACACACTCTGCCTAAACTCTCTTGATGATTTCCAGAATCAGTGCAAAGTTCCTTGCTGCTCTTTCAACATCCTCTTGTTGAAGAGGAGACAAGGGATGTGGTGGGTGAGGGAAAGCTATGGCTGGCAGCTGCACTCAGGACAAGGTGGAAAGCACACACAAAACAAGCAGCTAATTGTGAAACCACTGCCCACCAACCACAAACTGGCAAAGTCTGGGTTTCTCTGTCACACATCCCCAAAGCAGACAGTGTCTCTTCATTGGATGGCTGACAAGGAGGCATCAGGGAGACTGCTAAGCACAAACACTCATGGCTTTATCAAAATCTAGTGTATGCATTAAGCAAGATGTTTAGATGGCACCTAAATTCACGGAATTATTTCCAGGTGATTTCATAGTTATTGGCACATAAAAGCTGTCACTTTTCAAGTAACAAATAAGCCATCAAATAATCATATTGCTTTGTGTCTCCAACCACAATTAACAATAATGTATAACAACCTTTCCTGCACTACTGCCAACAAGTAATTTCCATGATAATATGAAGAGGTTCAATTTTATACAGCATCTATTGTCTGAGGCCAGGTAATTTTCCCCCCTCTGATTTTTTAGTCCCTGTTAACCATAATATGCTTTCATCTCTTCCCGTGAGTACAGGTCTCACCACCTGCTTCTGCTGGCTGGCTGCTTCATCAAAATAAAATTTCAGAAAAAAAAAAAAATCAGAAACAGAGCCTACAGAATATCCCCCAAGCCAAACTAATTTATCATTTGTTTAAAATATGTTTGATAATCATTTATATTCCAAGTGATCAAACAGAGGAGATATACTGTAGCCAAGCAATATTGGGTGAGCACGGGAGAATAAAATGTGAATACTTTCTAGCATATGGACACTTAACACTGTATAAATAAAATCACAGTTTCCTTGACTTTTCTTCTGGACCCTGAAAATATGTAGATCAACTCCTGCTTTCTTTCTGTAGCCCTCATTCAAAACCCTCCTTTAGGGAACTTGATGTTTTAGAAATGACAGAGCCAGCAGGAAGTTCCCCAGGAGCTTTTTAAGTATTTCTCTACAACACAAATAGTTCAGTGGCTCCTCTCTCACATTTCTGCTCAAATCAACCCAAAACAAACAGGTCAATATGGATCATTCTTGTTTAGCCATTTTTATTGCACAAACAGCATTGGAAGACCTCCAGGAAAATTCAAAACAAAAGAAAAATAAATTTCTGTTGACACTATCACCCCAAGTTAAACTATGTTTGTGTTCCCTTCTACTTCTTTTTTCACATCTCCACACCATATCACAGATGAATATTTTATTTTTATAGTTTTTTTCACTTAACATACGATCTGTATTCATTTTCAACTAAATCATAAACACATAAAGAAATGCATTCTCATTAACACCACTATGTACACTGTATTCCATTTACTTAATCACAACCTTCAAAGAAATTAGGTTATGCTTGGTGCAATGTTTGAAATGTAGTAAGTATTTAATGAATTATTGTTAACTGATTATGTACAATCTTATTATTTCACTCTTTAATTTTATAGTGATTTTAATTCAAATGAATTGAGGTTTGTGTTGACATTTGTAGGTCATAAAAATAAGTAAATTAATAAGCTAATAAAAACTTAATGAGATCTAAAAAGAAGAGATTTAACCTACTTGAGATTAAAAATAATGGTAATAAATATGTTCCAGTAGCTAGACACGGATAATATTTGTAAGTGTCACCATTAGACAGAGATAATATTGTTTATAACTAAATAAATCCCATCTTTCCAACAGGGTGATCTAGAAAATATTTTCAAAATTGTAAATTCAAGTTATACTCTGCAAATGTAATAGAAAATATTTATAAATATTTACAATGACCTGAGTTTAAAAAGGTTTTTTTTTTTTTCTGAGTTTAAAAAGTTCTCTACTCCCATCTGATATCTTCATGTGACTTTGAATGCATGCTTGTTGTGTTTAATCCTCTGTATTCTAGAGTATGAATAACAGTAATAATTCTGGAGTATGAGTAACAGGTTTTTAAGAGGACTTGGTAACTACACACAACCAATCTTTTTATGTTCCTGAAGTGACCTCTCTCAAAGGAAGGATGCATTGTTTGATCTGTATCAGATCCATTATCTTTGGAAATCAATAAATGGATCTTTTTCCGTCCTGTCTTCTGGTGAATGCAGTCTGGGGATTCCTGCAACAGTGGATTTTAATAAATACATGTTGTGCCACTTGGAGGCATGGAGGGAGAAGACAAGAGGAAGAGACTGCTTTTAACAGGAAAGTAATTAATCTGTGTTCAGATCAGCCCATGAGTGATTAGCGCCAGTTTACTTATGCTTTGCAAGGTGTGCAGATGCTACACAGACTGCATTTGCAGATGAATTGTTTTCTAGAGAAAGTCAATAATGGCTACACAGGCTCTCACCACCCAGCTGTAAGCAATCATTCATCATCCACCTCAAGAGTAGGAAGAAACTTTATTTGTGTTTCCTGCAGGTGACAAATGAACATGAAATGCAATTTATAGATTTCAAATACGCCACTTTTCCACCTTTTTATTTTGGTATTATTCCTTTTGACAGCTCAGTGCCATCAAAAATTAAGTGCATCTTCACTCTCTTGACTTGCTGCAAATACAACATATGGCTACATGATGTAATTCCACAAAGGCTGGCAGGCAGCTGTGTGATCCTTCCAGGTGACTGCTGCCCGCCTTCTCCCCGAGGAATGCTGCTACGTTTTAGTTTTCCAGATTCTGTTCCTAGGCGTGTTGTACTTGGTATTCAAGCATTTACCTGTTTAGATGACGTGGAGTTAAGAAGCATCACTGCATCACTTCCTCACCTTTGAACATACACATTTCCCCACAATTCCTATGGTCATAAGGCAAAAATGTTTTAATGTGTTCCTCATTATTTTTTTTTTTTTGTTCTTTTGTCTATTCTTGCTCATTCATGGGCTGGAATCAAGCAGAGGTAATGTGCTGTGGCTACAGATAATTTCTCTTTCTTTGCTTAGGGCTTAACGCAGATGCAGATGCCCATATTGCAGGTGCATAATAAATGCTTCTCCCATTGAAAATGACAATGGCAAAGAAAAATAGCAACAGCAGCAATGAAACACTCCAGTTATCTACCCACTTCATT